CCTTTTATTTCTTTTTGTTGTCTGATTGCTGTTGCTAGGACTTCTAGTACTATGTTTAACAATAGTGGCGAGAGTGGGCATCCTCGTCATGTTCCTGATCTTAAGGGAAAGACTCTCATCTTTTCCGCATTGAGGATGATATCACTGTGGGTTTTTCATAGATGGATTTTATGAACTTGAGGAATGTTCCCTCTATCCCTATACTCTGAAGAGTTTTAATCAGGAAAGGATGCTGTATTTTGTCAAATGCTTTTTCTGCATCAATTGAAAGGACCATATGGTTCTTCTCTCTCCTCTTATTAATGTGTTCTATCACAGTGATTGATTTGTGAATGTTGAACCACCCTTGCATCCCAGGGTTAAATCCCACTTGGTCATGGTGGATGATCTTTTTAATGTATTGTTGGATCCTATTAGCTAGGATTTTGTGGAGAATTTTGCCATCCATATTCATCAGGGATATTGGTCTGAAATTCTCCTTTTTGATGGGGTCTTTGCCTGGTTTGGGGATCAAAGTAATGCTGGCCTCAGAGAATGAGTCTGGAAGCTTTCCTTCTGTTTCTATTTTTTGAAACACCTTAAGGAGAATAGGTATTATTTTTTCTTTGAATGTTTGGTAGAATTCCCCAGGGAGTCCATCAGGCCCTCGATTCTTGTATTTTTTGGGGGGAGTTTTTGATCACTGCTTCAATCTCGTTATTGGTTGTTAGTCTATTCAGGTTGTCAATTTCTTCCTGTTTCAGTCTTGATAGTTTATAGGTTTCCGGGAAGGCATCCATTTCTTCCACGTTCCTTAATTTATTGGCATATAGTTGTTGATAATAATTTCTAATAATTGTTTCTATTTCCTTGGTGTTAGTCATGATCTCTCCCCTTTCATTCGTAATTTTATTAATTTGGGTCCTTTCTCTTTTCTTTTGGAATATTATGGCCAGTTGTTTATTGATCTTATTGATTCTTTCAAAGAACCAGCTTCTAGTTTCATTGATCTGCTCTACTGTGTTTCCGGTTTCTAATTCATTGATCTCTGCTCTAATCTTAATTATTTCTCTTCTAATGCATGGCTTAGGTATCATTTGTTGCTTTTGCTCTGTTCTTTAAGGTACGTAGTTAGTTGGTGAATTCGGGATTTTTCTATTTTTTTGAGTGAGGCTTGGATGACTATGTATTTCCCCCTTAGGACAGCCTTTGCACTATCCCATAGGTTTTGGACCAATGTGTTTTCGTTCTCATTGGTTTCTATGAATTGTTTTAAGTTCTTCTTTGATTTCCTGTTTAGAGAGAGAGAGAGAGAGAGAGAGAGATTTTATTTATTTATTCATGAGAGACAGAGACAGAGAGAGAGAGAGAGAGAGAGAGAGGCAGAGGGAGAAGCAGGCTCCCAAGGAGCAGGGAGCCTGATGCGGGACTCGATCCCAGGACCCTGGGATCATGACCTGAGCCGAAGGCAGACGCTTAACCATCTGAGCCACCCAGGCGCCCTGATCCAAACATTCTTGAGCAGAGTAGTCTTTAGCTTCCAAGTGTTTTAATTTCTTCCAAATTTTTTCTTGTGATTGAGTTCCAGTTTTAAAGCATTATGGTCTGAGAATATGCAAGGAATAATCTCAATCTTTTGGTATTGTTTGAGACCTGATTTGTGACCCAGTATGTGGTCTATTCTGGAGAAAGTTCCGTGTGCGCTCGTGAAGAATGAGTATTCTGTTGTTTTAGGGTGGAATGTTCTGTATATATCTATGAGGTCCATCTGGTCCAGTGTGTCTTTCAAAGCTCTTGTTTCTTTGTTGATTTTCTGCTTAGATGATCTGTCTATTGCTGAGAGTGGAATATTGAAGTCTCCTACAATTAATGTATTATTATCAATATGACTCTTTATTTTGGTTAACAGTTGGCTTATGTAGATGGCTGCTCCCATGTTCGGGGCATAGCTACTTACAATTTTTGGATCTTCTTGTTGGATAGAGCCTTTAAGAATGGTATAGTGTCCTTCTGTGTCTCTAAGTACACTCTTTAGCTTAAAGTCTAATTTGTCTGACATGAGAATTGCTTCCCCAGCTTTCTTTTGAGGTCCGTTGCCATGGAGGATGTATCTCCATCCCTTCACTTTCAGTCTGGATGTATATTTAGGTTCAAAATGAGTCTCTTGTAGACAGCATATAGGTGGGTCCTCTCTTTTTATGCAATCTGCAACCCTGTGCCATTTTATGGGAGCTGTTCACGTTGAGAGTGATTATTGAAAGATATGATTTTTGTTGTCATCATGTTGCCTGTGAAGTCCTGTTTCTATAGATTGTCTCTGTAAATTTCTGTGCTATATCACTCTTGGGGTCTTTCTCTTTTTATAGAACCACCCTCAATATTTCTTGCAGGGCCAACTTAGTGGTCACATATTCTTTCATTTTCTGCTGGTCCTGGAAGCTCTATATCTCTCCATCCATTCTAAATGAAAGCCTTGCTGGATAAAGTATTCTTGGCTGCACGTTCTTCTCATTTAGTACCCTGAATATTTCTTACCAGACCTTTCTGGCTTGCCAGGTCTCTGTGGATAGGTCTGATGTTATTCTGATGTTCCTCCCTCTGTACGTAAGGAATCTCTTCCCCCTAACTGCCCTTAAGATGGCTTCCTTGGTTCTAAGAAATGGTAGTTTTACTATTACATGCCAGGGCGTTGGTCTGGTCTCCTTGATCTTGGGAGGGAAATGCTTGTTTCACTCCCCAGATTAGGGAAGTTCTCAGCTACAATTTGCTCAAATATATCTTCTAGTCCTCTCTCTCTCTCCACTCCCTCAGGGATCCCAAAAGTCTGACATTGGAATGTTTCATGGCGTCCCTTATTTCTCTAATTGTTTTCATGGATTTTAAGCTGTTTGTTCCAGGCCTCCTCCTGTTCCTTCTTTTCTATCAGTTTGTCTTTTAGATCACTAATTCGTTCTTCTGCCTCATTTACCCTAGCTCTTAGAGTGTCTAGATTGGATCTCATCAATAGCATTTTGAAGTTTGGCCTGATTCGCTCTCATTTCTGCCCTTAGAGAATCTATGTTGCCATTAATGGTTTTCTCCAGCCTACCTATTGTCTTCATAACTGTTACCCTGAAGTCTATTTCTGACATCTTACGTATATCCCTATCCATTTGTTCTGTGGCATAGGTCACAGTCTCTGAGTCTTTCCTATTTTGGGGGTTCCTCCTCTTAGTCATTCTGTTGAGGGGTGATTGAGGGAATGAGGGTCAAAATTATTGACCACAACCCAAGCCAGATGCACCTGTTTTATAGGGATGTTAGGGTTGTTCGCCTGTTGTTCTTCCAGCCTGTCTTCTGGGGGAGGAGCATGCCATGCTGTTACCCAGGCAACCCTGTTTGGGCAGAGTTGCCCTGGCCCCTGTGGGGGAGGATGGGCTCAGTGAAAACTGTTTTTTGGGGTCTTTTGTTCTCTGGCTGTTTTCCCTGGTGGCTTTCCATATCTCTTCTGAGAGTCAGAGCAGAAGTGATCATATCCAAACCTGTGCCTCAGAACAGAGAGATTGCAGTCTGTTCTTCAGTGAGTTCTCCACGTCACACTGTCTCCATTTCTATCTGCGCTGCTAAAAACTGCAGCATCCTGGGCTGTGCACCCCTCAGCAGCACCCCCCGTCCTCTCTTCCAGGTCCAGATATGTCTCTGCCCTTTGTGCTTCTAAAACCGCAAGCCTCCCCCAGTTTGCAGGTACGTCTGTGCAGCTCCAGGTTTCAGTGGGGAGGAGGGTCTCGCTACCAGTCTGCAAGTCTGTGCCTGTTCCCCAGCATGGGAGGCTGTTGCGCTCCTGTGTTATTTCACCTTCCCAGCTCAAGCGCTTACGACAGCTTCCTCCTGCTTCCGTTTTTCTTCCGATATCTGCCTGTGGAATCACAGCTCCCCACTTCATTCCTCGAGACCAACCTCCAGAGATATTCTGTTTGTAGAGATCCAGATATATCTTCTTATATCTCAGGCTGATTTTGTGGGTGTTCAGAGTGGTCTGGGAGATATCCAGCTCAATTCAGAGGACCAGTTGAAATAGGGTCCCCTACTCCGCCATCTAAAACTATTTTCTGGGAGTATTTATTTTCTTGGTACTTTACACATTGTCTTTATTTCTAATACCAGCTATAATTGTTTACTTGGGAAGGGACTTTATTTTTTCCACAAAGTAAACAATATCTTAATCACTTCTCTAAATTATTACTTCTATGGAAAATTGGATATCTGGTATCTGTGCCCTCATCGCTGTATGAAAGTAATGGACGTGGGCTGAGTAGCATCACCCCCCTTTAATGTGGCCTGCAACCTCTCGTGTGCCACTATCTTTAGCACACTCTATTGTTTTTATGTCACTGACTTCAGTTGCCATTTATTATCTTTCCTGATTGAATTCTATCATCTTTTGCGTTTATGACTGTAGGTCTTGAGGTCAAAGTACAATTTAAATTTAAATGTATTTTAGCATTAGTTTTTATTGCCTGATATCATAGTTGTTTTGATTGTACAAAATCTATTACTGTTATATAAATGTTATCTACCGTATCTTTTAATAATTCTGTGTGCTGTGTGACTATGAATTTGATAAATCAATAATGCTTTAAATCAATACTACTGCATTTCATACCATAGAATTATCAAAATTAAAGGAGACTTTATACAATTTCTGATTTATTTTCCAGACTGCTCCTCCAATCTACCTCTCACCTCCTTGTAAAGATGAAGCATAGGAAAGTTAAACATTTTGCCAAAGGCTGCCAATTTCATTAAAGACAGAACTGGGGCTAAGATCCCCTTCCCTCTTGGTCACTTAACTCATAATCTAGTACTCTCTCTTATGAAACATTTTTTCCTGGGGAAAATTTCACATGTAAAAACATCTTGAAGACAAGTGTGTTTTTGTGGAAACTTCTGTAATTTTATTTGCTGTTTTATTTTTCATATTATTTGGAAATAGTACTCTCCCATGGTAAATTATTCTAATTTACCTATTTTATTTCAAACAGATCATGTTGTTTGTGAAGAAGAGTTTAAATACGCCATGTTAGCTTTAAACTGTATATGCCCGGCAACATCTACACTTATTACACTACTGGTTCATACCTCTAGAGGGCAGTAAGTATGTGTTTTCTTTAAGATAATGCATTTTAAATTATTTAAAAAAATAATATAAGTGCAGTTATGTGATTTAGAAGTACAGTAGCCAAGGTATACAGCTAGATATGTACCTATACTTGTGTTTGTGTGAGTTATCTTCATCTGACAGACAGATGGATAGATATATAGATGGACAGACAAATACAGACCAGTTAAGGGGCTGGGGTGGTGGTGGTCTAAGACATATAAAAAATTGGCAGTTATTTGCTGTCTTTTCTAACTAATTCTGAGATAATTTATTTCATCCTAAATTCTAAGTGTCTACATCATTTGTTAGGTCTAGGATTAGGGCACTGTTTCTATTTTCAAGATACTTAGCAAATAAAACTTTAAAAAACAGGATGATGACAATCATTAGTATGAGATCTTAAAACCATTTTTTTCTATTCCTGAGGTAAGTTTTTATTTCAAAACTATATGTATATGATTGACCTCAAAATTAAAATTTTACAATTATTATAAAATTAGCAAGTAGTATAAAAGAAATCATTTTTTAATTTACATTTCAAGGTAGATGAGGGAAAGTTATATCATCAGACCATTTTGTTCTATGAGAGAGTTTGTATTTGACTTGGATGATCAAGGAAAATATAATCAGTGAACACAATCCCCACCTTATTTGAAGAGACAAATCTTACATTGTATTTCATACTTTTCCTAGTCTTTACTTGGTATTTTAGACAAAATGTTGATTTTCTAAGTAAATTTTACTGTGGTGGTTGTGATATGATTATTTAAATTTAGTGAGTTAATTGATAGTTATTTAAGTGAAGTGTCAAATCAAATCAAGAAGAAGGAAAATTCTTTTTGGGGATTTATTTTTTAATTTTTAAATTTTTTTTAATTTTTTGGGATTTAGTACTAGATGGAGTAGGCTGCTAATTGGAAAGTAGCAAATACCCTACAGTATTTTCAGGTAGATTTTACTCCCTTACTTTTAATTATGTCTCTGCTCTATTGAGATAGTAAGTTTTCCAAGGAGTAATTTTCTTAAGGTTCTCAATGAAAATATTTCTATTCTATGCATTTACAAAACTTTAATTTGTGCAATGGAAAAAGATGTAACAGGATTATAAATAAATTGTTTTTCTTTGGAGAAAATATGCTGCATTTTGATGAAATTAAATAAAATACTGAAAATGACGTTAACACCAATTAATGGAACATTCATAGCACTCATCACAAGGTTCATTATTTTGCCATGCCCTCTTTGTCATAGACATACAACTTTAGAACTGAATATCTAGTCTCGTTTTATTGTTGTAGAAATGATAAAAATGAGGCTCATCATTAATTATACTGGTTAAATTGCACTGTTCAAGTCCTAGTAAGTATTACTTATTGGCATACAATATTGCCCTAGTGAACAACTTGCACTTGATATAAGTTTAAAAAACATTTCAGCAATCCGTGAAATATGACTTTTCCCAACATACTTTAATGAATTTTGCCTTACTAAAAGAGAAAGTAATGTTTTTGAAGACATTGTTACCACATAATTAAGGATTTTCCATGATTAAGATTGACCAGCAAAATTACTTCACATCTAAGTGTCACAATAAATGCCCTAGTCCACTAGAATAACTTTATTGAGCCATAATTCATATACCATACAAATCACCCATCTATAGCATATGATTTAATGTTCCTTGGCATATTCACAGACTTGTGGAAACATCACCGCTATCTAACTCCTGAATCGTTTCATCACTCCAAGTCTGGGGCACAGCATCTAGAGCAACATGTCTGACTCAACAGTACACCTAGTTCATTCCATTTTTTTTTTTAATTCTAACATTTTTAACTGTAGAACATAATCCTCAAGATGCTCTCCTTGTAATCACAAAACACCTGCTTTGCTTTAGGCTATTCTCCCTCTAAGTAGGAAGAAGGGGAATGACAAAGGGGCAAAGTATTGCCAACCAGGACTATTTAAAACTTTCCGTGAAGTCCAACCATTGCCTCTTAACCTCTTAAGAAACAGTTATATTTTGCATATTAGAATATGAGCTTGATTCTAGCTATGTCTGTTAGCAATGTAAGTAATCTAAATTAAAAAAATCTGTATACACACCTGTGTATATATACATATATACACACATTTATTTAAAATTATATGCTTACTCTTTTATGATAATTAGATTATGTATCATAAGAATAAAAGATAAATCAAAGGATCTTATCTGTGGGTGTACTGATTCATGCAAATAATTGTGAAAGCCTAAGTTTTATATGTAAAATACAAAGGTCATTGTTTCTTATTAGAGAGAGAGCTCAAATCTGGTGATTGCTAACTTGGCACTATTAAAATATATTAGTATATCTGTAGTGTAGTTGTTAATTATTATTACTTTTTGATAGTTGGCCCTTTACCTGAATTTTAATGTATTATCAGTGAGCCAAAACCAAACATATTATTATTATAAAATACATGATTCAGAAACTTCTCTCATTAAAGTAGCAACTAAAATTGGACTTTCTGGGAACTGCATAACCTAATCACAACTAAAATTCCCTCTGTTTGGTAGTGTTCGTGCTGTAAATGGGGCTCATAAATTTAGGGAGGAAATGTGACAGAGATAAAAGATCACCCATTCTGGCAGCTTGAAATGGTTGACTCCCTAACTGGCAAAGTTAACTAACACTGAGCCAATTACATATTCCATTTCATTCTCAATCATTTTATATGGAAAATTTGAGATAATAATGTTCTCATCTATTACTTTATTCGTTTATTTGACAATTATTTATGGAATGCTTACCTTGTGACAGAACCATTCCACGGGTTGTGGTTTCAACAAGGAAACCAATAGAAAAATTCCAGCTGTCCTGAAGCTTTTATTACAACTGGGGAGACAGATCAAAAATAAATAAGTAAAATATATCTCAGATAGACACATCTGATGATCTGAGAAATGGCAGATAGACCAGTGGAGCTAGGACGGAAGAGATCTGACAGGGAAACAACGGTCTTCTAGGCCATTAGGAGGGTGGTGCCCGTCACTCTCAAATGAAAAATCACTGAAAGATTCTGAGCTGAAGAGTGATAAAATTTGAATAAGAGTAACAAACACATTGGCTTCTTGGTTGAGCAAAAGCAATTAAGAGATTATGGGACTAATCTAAACCTGAGAAGTTAAGCCTTGTCTTGGGCAGAGGCACAAGAATGGAAGTGATTAGAAGTGCTCAGATTCTCGATGTATTTTGAAGGTTTTGTTGTCAGGAAGTGTTGATTAGATGTGGGGTGGAACAGAAGAAGAGTCTAGCATGACTGCAGATTTTTGGACAGAGCCACCAGAAGAATATAGTGGTGACTTACTGCAATGAAGAAGACCGGGGAAGATCAGGATTTTTATTTTATTTTATCAGGATTTTTATTTTAAGGTACTTGTTAGACTCCCAAAATTGTGTCTAATATACAGTCTGGAGCTTAGCTACACTGATGATAGAAATTTGGCTGTCATCTGCACATGGAACACTTTAAACCATGGAAGTGGATGAAATCACTTCACAGGATGGTTTTGAGGATTATGTACAGCCATACCAGACCATAATAGGTAGGTACTCTTTAGTTCTTTTTTTGGCTCTATTTATGTGTATCAAGTGAGTCAGATTCTATATGCATCAAAATCATTTTTTTAAATTTGGTGTCAGAGATACTTTGAGGGTGGCAGGAAAGATGCTTTAAAGACAAATGCAGGTCACCCACCATATATGTATTTGTGATGGGGAAGACTCAGGCCATGCACACATGTGATTTATATTTAAATTAGAATATGTTCGTAATTTCATTTGGATATTTTTTGGAACAAAGAATGACATGAATGAACAAATATATATCAAAATGCTTCCAAGCAATGAACAGTGAAGGTATATATCTCACCATGGCCAATCTTTCAAATCACTGTCTTAAGTATTACAGAGATTAGGATTAAATATATTTTGAAAAGGATGACTCAAGTATGTACAATGTAAGGCATTTTACTCTCCAGCAGTATATTATTTAGTCATGGAAGATTTCATAGGAGAAAGCCAAGTAGAGTTATAGGAGGTATAAAATTATTTTGTCTTCTTAAAAGATACAAGTCTTGAGATGCCTCAGTTGGTTAACGTCTGCCTTCAGCTGAGGTCATGATCTCAGGGTCCTGGGATCGAGTCTCACATCAGGTTCCTTAATCAGCGGGGAGCCTACTTCTCCCTCTGTCTGCCACTGCCCACTGCTTGTGTGCTTGCTCTCTCTCTCTGACAAATAAATAAATGAAATCTTAAAAAAAAAATACAAGTTTTCAGTGACCTTTTCAAAGTTTGTTTGGAAGAAATACATTATAAAAAATAATTTAAATAAGAAAATTATTAAATGCAGTAAAATTATTTTTAAAATGTAGCAGAAGACATAAAGATAAAGACAGATATTTGAGAAAATGGTTAAGTTATATAAATGTAAGCAGGTAACAGTTGCTGGCAGTTTCAGATTTCATAATATATTATTACAATATATTGCAATAATTTTCTTTTGATTTACATGGCCACAAAAAAGGAGGCTTCAAATAGAAATCAATTTGTATATGATATAAATATGTATCTTAAGGATTTTGGATGAGTGAAAAGATGTAAGAATTCCAAGGCTACATTCCATAAATATATATTAGAAGTAAGGGGAAAGCAAAGTTGCTTTTATATTTTAGTAAAATCAATTTCAAAAAGTTGCAATTTTGTAAATATGTTCCTCAGGAGTGGTTATTTCATAAGAAGCCCTCCATTAAGTTACCAGGGTGAATGTGTTATTTTCATCAATGGGATCTGGAAACTGCAGATTTGGGGATTGCTGCAATGCTTTTTGTAAAATGAAAATTTAACACTATTAAGTTTTGTCTGTTGTTTTCAATGTAATTGGTCTCTTTTAAAATAGAAGAACACCTTCATTTGTGGTTATTTCCTTAGCTTGCAAAATTTTATCA